TTTGAGTGTTATTGATACTGGCTAAAACAATGCGGGCTTACGTCAAGTGAGTCTGTAAAGAAAACGAAACGTGATGCTGCCCGGTAATTGTAGTTTTGACTTATATTTGCCCTTATGAAAAATAATAATTGGAACTCATTGTAACGTAAAATAAATTTAGAGATAATTTTGAAATTGTCTGGTCGCTTGGCAAGTATTCATGGTAGGTATAATTTTTTGTTTAAAATGTCAGTCGAAATTGCATCACGACGGTTACAGACAAATAAGAAGTAAGAAATGAGTTATCTTTTCAGAAATTATAATTTTAGTTATATTTCTTGAAGTAAGCATTCATGTCAATAAGTGTACTTAGTATGTACTGTTTGTCAGCGATTTTGAATGAGACAGATTATATTTAAATAGAATCGTTGCTGCTTAAATTACCAATCTCTTGTTAGAATTAGCGACTATACTATGTATATGACGATTTTTTCCGATTTTAAAATTATAGCTCTAAATACAGTCGAATTTTTTTGGTTGTTAAAAACGCAAAATGAAATAGTTGTACCAGTACAGTACGGTAGGTAGGTGGGTCATTAGGTGTAGTTATATTATATATATTGAAAAGTTCAATCAAACTCATGAATAATTATTGTTAACTTTAAAATGTTAGTTTATAATATGCGTTCAGAAGAAAATAATACTTTTTTTTTAACTATTTGAATCGTATATGAAACATGAGGATTCGAAAAGATGCGTCCAAGTAATGGATAATATACTTATATTCAATACTGAAATAATAAATTACAATATATGTACACCATTTATATATCTACAAAAAAAATAAACAATATAAAACTAACAAGATTGCCGCTGAGCGAGACCAGTAGAATAATAAGTTAATTCCAGCAATAAGTATTACGAAAGAAACCTATAACAAATGTAGTTATCTAGACAGTAGTGGACATGAAGAGATGTCTATATTGTATAATTTTTTAATAATTATACATGTATAATGTATAATTCTTAAAAAATTATACATTACTGTTTACAAAAATAGTAATGTATATATTTATAATAATGAAGTGTAATTCTTCGTAATTTGTATAATTTATAATTTCATATAAGTATTAATATAAAAATGTATGTGCATAATATTTAATATTAAACAATAAATATTTTTGTTCGGAGAGTATGCGGTCACATGTCATCAAAGATCCGGAAAGCCTTGAAGTTTTTGTCTAACTAAACAATAATTCAGTGGCTATGTCTTGATTTGAGTTCGTGCGCCGCGAAATTTCCCGCCTGTTTATATCTGTACAAATCGACGAAATCGAATGAGCTATTTCAAAAATTGGATTTATTGATCGTAAAGAATCCGCCGTGTAATTTATAGATGCCATTTTATGTTGTTTTCGTCGTGAGTAGCACAGAAAGAGGATTTATAATGAGGTTACAAGGTCTTTGCCAGGTCGACGTAAAGTTTGATGTCTTCTAAATTAGTTTATAGTGTTTCTTATACAGTGATAGTAACTTAACATAATGGTTTTATTGAATTTTAGATTGAATTAATAATAATAATAATAATGATACAGTATACGCCATCAAGCATATCAAACTACAAAATAACCATAATAATAATAAAATTGAACTCGAACAAATTGACACAAAATTACATAAGTAATAATCTAGATCGTTCTAGATTATAACAATACATATTCAAGATATTAAAAGATTAGTATTTATGAACATGTGATTGTGATTTGTGTGTAACATAATTCACCCCTTTATTCAGAAATTATATGATTTGGTCGGTAATTAATGCGTAAAGTCCTGGGCGACTGACCTTTGGTCTGTGTTTTATGTTGTTTTTAGTAAAATTGGGTTATTTCGTGCGAAATGCGCTTATTTTATATCATTTCATAGTTACCTATTACTTATACAAAGACGTCTGCATACTTCTGTCTCTGTTATTTAGCCTTGTTTTGTTTGTATTGTGCTTCTCGCCCTTCAAGGGCTAGAAGCACCGGAATTATAAGGTATGGAGGCACATCGACGTTATATCAGTACCTATCCGATCCAGTACTCTGTATCTCATTTGCCGTCGAATTAATAATTTCAGTTGGCTTCGTGAAAAAATTAAATACCTATTAATATTGTACAAAAGTATTGTCAACCCTAATATTAACGCGGTAGCGTTCATCAGTCATCGGCCCCGGCTTCCGGCTGCGTTTCATAGTTCAATGCCTCGCTAGATTTGCGTCCCGATGCGACCTTCACTACGTTTGGCGCATAGATTCTGTCCTATTACAAAAAACACGCTATATTTTCCATACACATGCAAACTATTGCTGTTCTGGATACGCAAATTATTTTATGTTACATATTCAAAGAGTGATGAACGTGATGCAGGATTTTTTAACTAAGAATCTATCGAATCGCGCCTCATGTCACGTGTACCGAACGATCGAGATTTTTATTCGTCTTGTCTTTGACATACTTCCATCCATTGTGTTATTTGGTCTGTGGGTTTCTAGATACAAATAAAATATAGTTATTACATTTTTAGTTGGCTTTGATGGTCCAGCTGTTTAGGACCTCACTTTAATTCCGATGGTCACGGGTTCGATCCTCACTCGGTACACATAGTTGTATGCATGAGTATGATTGTCTGTATCTGTCTGGATGTTCTCTATTTATATTGTGTATGCATTTACCATAAATTCATTTATTATAAGTGTATCTATGTATTTATATCCGTTGTCTTGTACCCTTAACAGAAGCTCTGCTTGGGACTAGATAGACAATGTGATTAATATTATTAAAATGTTTTAAGATTAAACAATAGGGTTGCAAAAGTACATTACATATTATTTTTAAAGCTAATCAGTAAATTAAACATAATATTAAAATAAATTACAATAATTATGCTGTTTGTTACCATAACCTTATGAGTATACTCGTATACTTCTTCCTTATTATTTCATAAACAAATAACACAATAAAATAAGGAGTTAACGTTATTCTGGCTGTGCCCCAAGTGATCGAATACAAAGGATGTTTAAATCGTCCCCGGCTTTTATTAAATTTACACACAAAATTACAATTCGCGCCATCATCTTATTTACTCAGACTCGAATAAATTATTTTTTTATTGGTTTGGTGCAGCAGTCGTTGCCGAATATTGGTTTGACATTCAGACAGTCTAGCTAACTCATTGCAATGAGCATTGGATACATTTCGTTTGGCAATATCAACTTAAATCGAATGGTCCTAAGTGATATATTCGGTTGGTGTAATGTTTTAAAAGACTGCATTTGTAACTCAAGCTGGCAGTATATAATGATCGTGCATTTTGTATCCCAAGGGCAAGGGTACGAATGCTGTACACACATTGTTGCCACATGTCTACGACGTGATTATAGGATGGCAATAAAATTATAGCATAGGTTGGTTATGGTCTACCTTTTCCAAACCATAACATGATTTACTAATAGTAAGATTTCTTACTGTTACTTTAATACTTATTTTCTTTACTTTTTCGATGTATGTAATGGTTGGTTGATGATGTATTTTATGATTGCAATATAATTTAGAAAATATGTCAATTCTCTTACCTATTGCCTTTTGACAGTACTATGTACCTTGCTTATGGATACAATAATTCCTTCATTACCACAAACTTATCTTTATGCTTTTTCGCCAAGATTGAAGTTAAAAATAGTTTTAAATCTAAAACCAACAATAAAAATATAATGCATCATGCCATAGATTATAAATACCCACTTTTGGTGATCGACCGTAGCAACTCTTAACATAGAACGTTTTACTCTTATGTAAAATTATATATTGGAGCATATTCTTTATGTCATCTTTTTGATAGGTAATTTTTATCGTGAGGTCGCTAATTGTAATGAAGTAGTGCTAAATCTACTTGTTGTGACAACCATAAAGAACCATAATTCGTTATACATATATATCTACTGATTGTCCATTCAGTACACTATATTATATATATGTATATATATAAAAAGCGGTATAAATATCATAATTATACAATATCTAAAGAACTGTGAAAATTATAAAACAATAGAAATGCTTTGATTTCATCTAAAAATAAGTAAACTTAAAAGATACACAAATAGAACCTATGTATTTGTGTTTATTTTAGTTTTTACTGCCACAAATAAATTGTATTAAAAGATATTTCTAATTTCATATTTGTTGTGACAAATAAAAAAACATGTAGGTATTATGTACATTTTCGTATCATAATTTAGTGACGTGGGATGGGTCGTTTGGATTGGTTGAACACTGAAAAACATCACTGTTATTATCGAAGTGAGTTGATTTCGCGGTTAACTCATTGTCCCTAACATTCAATTATGTTTCTTTGAATCGTATTCTATATGGTAAATCATTTTGCTTTGATTAAAAACAACCACAGAGGATCATTCAATGTCGAATGTAAATTCAAAGTATATTTTGTCTGCCTGGATACCTATTTTATCAGCTAAGGAACTCGCTTTGTAAGCTGCATTTCAGTTGTAGAGCGCGATTAGAAAGTAAAATTACTGTATAAGAGGTAGGAAACCTTAATTAATAGAAATGGTAACGCATCAGTGATATCACGGGTGTCACATAATAACATGATACCCATAGTGCAGTTGATATATGCATAAAAGCGACGGTTACCACTTACCATCAGGCCCATCAAATTGTCTACCGACATGGCCTTTTGAGCCCGTTCTTTAACATACAGATCATATTACTTGTTCACCATAAAGATATAAGTAAAAGATTAATATAGATAATATGCACAATGCAAAACACGAAAAATTAAAAATAACTGTATGTGAAATAATTCTTAAAATTAAATAATTTTTTTTTAATTATTCCATCTCAAGTAAAATGTTAAATCTTATCTGTTTATAATGGTAGTTAGGATATATGTATTTTTCTCCACTAATGTTTATTATAAAAGTAATATTAGGTATTTTAATTGTTTTATTTTGTTACAGGTCTAAATTACAACGCGGGTTAATTTGTGTGAATCGAAATTAAAGATAAAAAACTATGTCGTAAGTGAAAATAAATAATTATGCAATAACTAGAATGTAAGTAACTTTTAAGTATAAATTGTGTAGTGAAGTGTTAAAAGTGGAGAATATAACGAGTAGCAAGAAAAATGCCGGGTTTACCCCGGTGACCGATAGGTAAGTTGCATTTATATTTCTAATTTATAAATGTATGTTATAGTAGCTGGGTCAAGATATTTCACCCTCACCTCGGTTTAATAAAAAAAAAGAAATGGTGGCGGTTTTATTGTGTGTTGGTTGAGTTGAGTTGAGTTGAGTGGTGGTTTTATTACCATAACGGTCCAAGGTAAGCAGAGCTTGTATTATGAGTACTAGACAACTTATATAAATACATAGATACCTTTTTTTAATCCATACATGACATACATAGGAAACACCCAGACAGATACAAAAAGTCATAATCATAAATACAAATGTTTCCACCGTGCGAGGAATCGAACCCGCGACCATCGGAAGTAAAGCGGTGTCCTGTCGAGGCGCTTTTAATTGTCTTTCAGCGACTGCACTTTCTTACTTTTTCTTTTTGTGCATTTTCTAAGGGTTATTGAGATGTTTATCTATTTGAAAAAACGGGTTATCAAATGCTAGGAGGATATCTTTTTCATTTTGGGCTGGCAGGTCCAGTGATTACTGCATTTAAATAATCTCTGCAGCTTTATATATTACTATAGATTTCTTATATTATTTATAATATGTAATATATTATTTGTAATCATCGAATACAGCAGCTAAAAACGTGAATTTAATAGCCGAATGTATATGATCATCAGTTTAGAACGGCTTCACTAGTTCTGTTTTGTTAATTTTTTTATAGTCATAACTAAATTTGTGTTGTTTGAAAATTGAAAAATTTAATTATCCGTATTAAAAAAATATTGATCTTCATTTCTTCAGTTTCTTGTTAATATTTTTTTTATAGTTAACATGTACGAGGCCAGATACCTAGTTTTAAATTTCCCTAAATAACTTAAATTATTATTATGAAGTAATTTTCCGAAATTCCCACGGGAATGGAATGTTCCACGCGGGCTGTTTGATAGGTGAACCAACACTTACATAATTTTATAGTATTAGTGTAATGTATATTTAAACTATTAGTAATAATTTAGATAAAAATTTACAATTATGAAAAATATGATGGAAATTTGTAAAAAAAAACACAGTTTCACATCTTTATGTATTGTTAAATGTACCTTTTCTTATTTATTGTAGCAGTAAGCAGGTTTCTATATTACATACATCATTGAGACGACAATCAAACATAAATAAAATAGTCTCATAATTTTGTACTAGCGTTTTGTATTAGTACAAACATACATAGATAAGAAAATTGTTTTCTTTAGAGTGTATGTCTTATAGTAAAATTAGGTACAAGTGTTTGCTCATGATCAGTAGGCATGCAAATTTTCATAACGATTTATAAAGTAATAAAGAGACATAACATATTACATAACTAACATTTATTGATGATTATATAATTACATATTTTAAAATTTATTGTAAATTCAGTTATGAGAATCATCAAAATCGATTCAGATTTAACAAATATGTACGTCGAATATTCAGTGGAACGACAATTCAGTGGAATTGAAAACGTTTTTATTTCTTTTTGAAGTTGTTTGAAAAATGCAAGGACACATGTATTCAATTCTGGTAGAGACTCGCTATGAATTCAGTGATTAATTTCCTTAAGCTCTAACCTCGAGGAGGGAAAAAAATAAGCGATGAACATTGTTAATACAAAGCGAGTGTCTTTATTGCGGGTCTCTCTCGAACACATCTCAAATTGCAACCCAACACCCAACATTCATCTGGATTTTACTACAGTATTTTATTTTTATATTAAGATATTCCAAAAGGTTAAACTACAGATGTAATATAAATTATTAATAATTTTCCGAGATAGACTTTGTATAAAGTGATGTGACAGAAGACTTACTCTCACCTATTTCTACCATCAAGTTTGCTTTGTTACCCCTGTTAAGGATGAAGGATAACATATAATGATTATAATATGCTGGTGGTCACTCTATTCTCCCAAATTTGAATTTTAATAACTGTATTTATCATAAACATGTTCCACTATTATTTGAAAAAAATTACGAGCTGAGTTTCTTGTCAGTTCTTCTCATCTCGATATCATTCCGAACTGACGGTAGATTTGACATATCATAAGAGTCTGTAATAGACCTACATGAATAAAGATATTTTGAATTTGAATTTGAATTATAAGTATGATTGTAATATTTTCTATACAGAAGAGGCATGATACCCTAGTCCTCAGGAATGGCAACCTCCGAACTTGTAGTAAACTCCCAGGCCTAAAAAGCATCGTTTATTTTAAGGTCGATTGAAAATTAACCTAAACTCCAAATGAAATTGAAAAAATAATAGAACTAAAATCCAACTCACAAATCGAAAAGAAGAGGTACATAGAATAAATTCACGTTGTTACTTTATTTTCTTCGTCCGTATATAAACCTACATAGCCCGTTCAAGATCTATGCTAATGAACTTTTTTTATCTGTTAAATCGTGCCTCCCTCAGAATAGACAATTAACTGAGATAATGTATTCGTGGGCCTACAGTTAATTAATCACAGCTCCAACCATGGGCCGTGACTTTCTTCATTTTAAACCATAAGTTCATGCAAAGTACTTAATTTGGTACATGTTATAATTAGTCATGCAGGAATCCAACCGATGATATCTAACTTTATTACGCTCACATGTTTATAAATATCAATTAGATAAGTGTGTACAAAAATGTAAAAGTACAAAACTATTATGTATTACTAAAACTTGGAATTGAAATAGTTTATATAACCATCACACATTGTCATACAACAAATATGACTATTATAACGTTATCTTCCCACGAGTGAAGATTATCCTTCAATTGACTGATCTGAGTAGCATTACTATTCAGTAATTAGTTGATATCAATTAATAATACCGATTAACTTGGTATTATTGGATGACTGGTCTTGATCGCTTATAAATAAAGGCATTTATATTGTAGGCAAATAAAAAGATAGCTAATGACTTCAGAATATGCGTTGGCACACAAACTGTCAGTTTGAATCCATTCAGCTTGTATTAAGCTCAACAAAAAAACAATGGTACATAATGATCAAGCAAAAGACGTCAGTCACCTTCTTCATGTTAAGATCACTTGGTGCAAGTCATTAATTAAATATTTGAAAATAAATAACACATACATGACACGTATATTTTGTTTTAGAAACAAGTAGGTACATATAATTTATGAAAACTGATCATTCGTGGTTAAAATACGCGATCGACACATTAACCTATCGATTGCAAGAGGGTACGTCGAATTCTATTCAGGTTTTCACACACGAAAGAACTTGAATGAATTCATTTCAGAATATATTTCCTTTGACAGTCTTTTCAAAAAATACATCAATCGTGATAAAATTATGCACTGTAACGTAAAAAATAATAATAGAATTGGTGAATAAATTACGTAATTTGCATACATTAAGATAATCGAATTTAGATTCTACTCATTTTTAAATTGGTTGATGAAACAATAGTAAATAAGTAAGTAAAGGCAAATTTTAGAGGAAGATTGTTACATGAAGATTGTAAGTACCAAACCAGATAGATTATAAAGGCAAACCATGTCTGTGTGAATGCATTTATCTTACTTATTTAAATAGCTAGGCAGCTTTTCTTGGCAATATGTGCTTCAGTTGAAGAGTGCAATAAGTCAATGAACAGACAGGGTGAGGGATGCATGTCATCGTAGTCCTCCGGTATGAAAACACGTGGGAAGTATTTCAAATATCATATTATTATTATATTATTTTTATATTTATGTTGTTACTGTTCATGTATATAGGCAATGTTACCATTAACTACCGAACGTTCATAAAAAACTGTTTTATTGTATACTGTATTCACGAGGCCGTACTGAGGCCTACTGTTGTTGTTGTAAACATAGCATTCGCGATTACTTAAGTAAAACTTATTCTTCCTGTTTAGAAGCAACCGTACAAAGTTGTGAGATCTCATGTAAAGTCAACTATGGCTTCAGTTTATCCTTAACTGTCCAGTAAACAACGTAATACAAAACGACAAACTACAAAACCCTATCTACAATTTGTATAAAATATGAGTTTACTATTATTATTATAATTACATTTACCTAATTATAACTTCTACTCTTTTAGGAGCAACCGTACACATGATGGTAGAGAGCAATATTATAATATTATATTATAAACGCTTGACGCAATAAGCAATTTATGGCTTCCGTTGAGTTTTTACGCTACAGCGATTGCTAGCGCATGAGCAGACAAAACTACTATCATAAACTTACATTTTCAAAAATAATAATATATACTAGTGGAAAGAAATTTACAATGATTTTTATCGTCAACGGTTGTATTCGAATCTGGTTATCAAAAATTATATTTATGGTTTTACACTTAAGTTAGTTTTTTAAATATAATTAATAACTTTTAAGTCAACATAGTGTATAGTGGCCATCTTTATAATTTTAGGTACTATAAATCAATTAAGTATTTATCAGAGAGATAATTTATAATAAGTTATCTGGATATATAATTTTTTGTCACATATAAATATCAGTATAATAAAACATATACATCAAATATAATTTCAATACAACACCAAAAAAAGGTAAAATATTTCAAAATATCTAATAACAATGACCAACAATAATCATGATTTAATACCGTTGAAGAGGTCAAGACAAAGAAATAATATTTTATAATATTGTATGTATATTAATGGACGAGAATCACGACTGACTAATTTTCTCTGGAACACTAAACGTCACTGTAATCGGACGTAATAAATTATATTATTGAGAACACTTGTAAAAGACAATCAGTGCAATCGTAACTTCATATAATACTTGTCATACATTATATAAGGTTATTGGATATTGTAGCGAGTATATTGATTAATTCAGCTTTGGTCCAAATCTGTGTTGAAGACCAGTGAACCAAATCGACCTACTAACATGAATCAGTTTGAGAAATATCGTATATTTATTTGCATTAAAAAATTCTGCTTGTTTACTCTACCTTTTGTAATTAATAGAAAACTGACGAACTATCAGAT